AGTACCTTATTTCGTTAATTTTATAAAGCGAAAAAGCTTCCAAAAAACAACTGGATGACTTATGTAGCAATAGAATTGTTACCAGCTTTCTTACAGCTGTAAAATGGTTATTAACTTATTTTAAAATGTTTTGAAATTTTGTATTCTATTTACATTGGTAGACTAGACCCAATTTTTTAGAATGTTTATTATAATAATTAATCGAACTTATTCTCATTGTCATAAAAAATAGTGCACCTAGAAAGAGTTGTCGGAATGACACCAAACTTTACATACGTAAGTACAACAGTGATATAAGTAAGTGATTAAAATTCACAGCATTGGCCAACGACTGTCCAACTTTCCGTCCCAAGTGGTCTAGGTATGCTCGCTTGGTGACAAATCTGGGGATCGAGCAAACCTCAGAAGGGTGGTAATATGGCGGTAGAATTCTGTGACAGTCGTGCAATATGTGGCCGAGCATTGCTGTGCTGAAAAATGGCTTCTGAGAGACCTGCCATGAGTGGCATTACGTGTGGCTGAAGGGTGTCACGAACGCTGTCCTAGCCCCGTGGGTCAATATTAGGGATGATCGTTTGTTTAATGAGATGACACACCATGCCATCACACCTGCTGTAGAAGCGATGTGCTGCTGTACAGCTTAGTCAAGATAGAAGCGTTCACCATGAGATCGCCACACTCGTTCATGATGGTCATGACTGCCCAAATTAAGTCTAGATTCATCTCTGAAGACATCCATTCGGTTGGGGAAAAAATTACTACATAAATGCACAATATGAAGAGATTTCAGAACACTAACCTACATTCACGAAATCCTATTTTTTTCGAATGAAGCGAGAAACAAACACAACTTAACTAATTCACCTAAGAGAAGTATTCCATTCCTCTATGCTATAATTATAATCATCGTTCATGATGTGATCATTCCGAAATAAACAAAAATAAGACTGGCACGCTAAATTAGAGTGACAACTAGTCGACTCTACTGTATCAACTAACCGTTTCCCTAAACTGTTGCTAGAGGGCGCAGGCGATGCCTTCTAGAGAGATATTGGCACAGTAAAACTTTTTGAAAAGCATCGTGTTAATGTTTTAGTGGATTGTCCTTATAAGTATTACAGTTAACGTGTGAAACTTGAGATGTTAAACAGTTATAAAGTACGCTGAAAGTTATTCAATGATGCAATTATTTCGATTCACTGCAGCATTATGATACACTAAAAGATAAAGATAAAATAAAAAACTTTTCTATCACACAATCGGAATTTTAAAGCTTTGTATTTTGGCATTCAAATTAAAAAAATATTGAGATTTTTAAAGCATCACATTTTATATATTTTTATTTTCAAAATCAAGAATTTTATTCTGAAATAGTTACATTTTGTTGCACGTTTTACTCATTCAACATTTTATTTTAATACCGATATTGTTGTTTTCAAAATTTTATGCTGAAATTTAGTATTCTACTCTCAAAATTAAATTGTAGCTTCGTTGATTCTAATAAATTAATTTTATTCTAATCATTTTCGCGAAAGTAATACTTGTAAACATTCTTTTTACATTCTTTAAGTGTTTCTGATCCGTTATGAAGAATTAAAGACTTAAGAATTTTGAACACATGCCAGACTAACATTCTTCATTTTTTTCTTCCAAATAAAAGCTTAACTTTTATTATTATTTTTTTCCCTTTCCATTGTTTTCATCTCCCATCTTGAAAAATTCTTTTTTATTTGAATTTTCAACGGCAGAGAATTTTTTTTAAATTTTTGTTTTCACAATGAGCTCTTGATTTATGACAGAAAATTAAGGAGGAAAAAAAAATTATGATAAATTCCTTTTGTATTATGTGTAGTATTATCTTAGTCTTTAAAGTGTGTTTTATGACTTTGTTCTTTATTATTGTACCACTTGGGGGAAAATGTAATTAACTCTAAAGATTTTTTTTCTTCTTTAACATAGGAAATATTAAAGTACTTTAACTTAGCCTCCTTCTCATTTTAATTGCATTTGCTGCGCAATCAAATCTATTTATTAGAAAAAAACTTTTTCCAATATCCTTGTTTTTATCTCCTTTTGTCTTCTTAGGAAAAAAAATATCATTAATGTTTTTGTATTTGACAATTTTTTTTTTCAATTTCAGAAAATGGTATTGTCAATACAACTGAAGAATCTAAGTAGGATCAATAATATAAACTAGTTAAATTCATGGTCGCATTTATTTTATTTATTTATCAGAAACATCTTTCAGTTTTGAAATTTTTAAAAGTATTTTATTTTTGCGATAAGTTTTTTAAACTTGTCTTTCCATTACATCAAACGAATGCTTTACTATTTAAAACTAATAATTTAAGAATATATTGAACATAAAATTGAATTTAAATTTGTACCTTTGTATTTGTTGTGTAAACCCCTAAAAGTTCTCTTTTTCCATGTAGCATTTTTCATTAATTGCGCATTAGTTAGCATAAATATTTGTTAAAATGTATAGGATTTTTTCCTCTATGGTAAAATTAATGTTTGTTTTTTCCCGGTTATTTTTACTTTAGCCTTAATGATACTTATGGTACATGGGTGACTTATTACAATTTCTGATTTCATGAAAGATGACTTGTTTGTTTTATCTTACACACTCTTAACTTTTTCTCTAGCTGTTGAAAAAGGATTTTCGCGCTATCATTGGCGAATTCTTCTTTTTTTCCTGGTGGCGATCATTTTCTCCGACGAAGTTTTTTTCGCCATTATGGTGTTGTGGTAATCTTTAATGGTTTGTACGTCATTAATTTCATTTGCTATTAATCACTCGTTGCGAGGGAAAGATAATCTTTACCATTGTTCTTTTAAGTTCAATTTAAGTAGAGATGTTTGAAATATTTCCGTTAAAAGAATAATATATTTAGTTTTAGAGGTTAGAAAAAAACATTATTGGCTTGAAAGCCTATATTTGTATATTTTTATTGCTATAAATGAATAATACTTTAATGGAATTATTGATTAAAAATGCTAAATGAGAATTTTAATGTTGTGTGTTTGAGAAAATAAAGTGTCCTATTTTTTTTCTTTTTTAAAAAAGAATACTGTAATTCAGTCCTAATTGTATTATTGAGTTTTAAAAATAAGTAATTAATTTTTTAAATTGAACCAATTAGAGAAATCGAAACTCATCCGAAAAAGTTTCTGCCTAACAACCGTCTTTTCTCGTTAGTTGTATCTTTCACAGTTTAAAACGTTTTTTTTTTTAACATGATATTAATTAAGTAACGGTAATCACCAAAAACGTATTTTCTATCAACGAAATTAACTTTTACTAATTCAAAATTTTCTAAAATATAATTGCTGTTTTTGAAAACTTACATCAATAACCATCATAAAGTAAAAATTTTAAATTTCTCAATTTTACCACGCTTATATCAACTTGCCTTCGTGTATGTCTGTTCAGGTGGAATTTTGTAATCGATTTTAAACTAACTTCCCGACTAGCTACAAACTTCAAATTTGGCACATAGTTCAGAATTGGATGGCAATGCATGAAAATGAAGAGAAAAAAGACATACTAAGTAAAATAAAATTAAAATTAAAGAAAAATTAATATTTTCGCCATTGTCTTTTGTTGTCGATTCGATTATTTCAAATTAGTGTCACATGTCAGTTGAAAAGTTTTGTGTACAGTGAGTGAGAAAATTGAGATTTTGGAAGTGAATACGAAAGAAAAAAAAATTAAACTAATATTTTTAAAAACCACGTTTCTGTAGTGGTGAATAATAATTAAAAAACAAAAATTTGAAAAACGAAAAACGTGGGGCGCATCGAATACATAACAGTACATATACACATACATATACACATTTTCTTACTCATGCACAACCACATACACATATACATCTACATACACATGCATATACACAAACATATTCCACATACACATCCACATTCAGATACAATTACAGATATACAAACACATATTCTCATGAGCACACATACTGTTACTGATATGTATTTCATGCTCCCCACGTTTTTCGTTTTTCAAATTTTTGTTTTTTAATTATTATTCTCCACTACAAAAACGTGGTTTTTAAAAATATTATTATTTTTTTTTTTTTTAGTTTTAATTTCTAAATTAAATTTGACGTATTATTGGTCGTATTATTGGTATTTTCAACCATACGCCGATACGAATTTATTGCAAACTTAATAAGATGTTGAATTCAGCTATGTTTCTACTAAAGTTCAATCAGTATATTATTTGCCACTATGATTTGCATCTTCTGAAAATTTCATTTCAACCACGTCATCCTTTTATGGTGCAAACATGAATTTATGTACACTCGTGCCTCGAGTTCGCCGATTTGGTGAACGCCACCTAAATTGTAACTCCTCAACAAAATATTTTATAACCGTCCTTGTACAATCGACGCAATTCTTTGTTTACGACAACCAATGTTCAACGATGCCAGCCGGGGGCAAAATTCGCCTCGACCAGCCATCGCTGGGATTCGAACCAGGGTCACCTTATTGGAAAGCGAGTGCTCTGTGCTCTGAGTCGCCACAGCCACTGCTTTTAATAAAATATTGATTTGGTTCTCGCATTCTTAAATAGCATAAATTAAACGAAAAAATAAAAAGCGATAAGTGTCCGCCGCAATTAAGAGACTTGCCGCGTTTTTTTTTTTAAATTTATTTTTTATTTTTAAATTTTGTTTTTGTCATGTTTTGACGAATTTACAAAATAGACTCTGACTCACTGTGGTTTTCTGCGTAAAAAGAGCATTGTTTATATTTTGCCAAAAATATTCGTGTCCGTCATTCAAATTACTTTGCAATAGATAAAAAAAAGTCCCCTTTTCAGCACATTAAGTGTGGTAATTGAAAAGTATCACTAATTTTATTTATGATGTATTTCTAGTGCAGTTTCTGTAATGTTTTTACAATGCTCAATTTTGTTTCTTTACTTTGATTTTTTGTTTCTTAACTTGTTTTTTAGTTTATTCTATTTCTTCTTTTAGATGTCCCAGAGATCCGGATCAAAAGCTAATAAAACGTGTTATTGCTTTGGAAGGTGATACCGTTAAGTAGGTATAATTTTTTAACCGTAAAAATATTTTAGTTACACGAATAATGTTTCTAATTAATCCATTCTTTTTCATGACCTACTTTCAATTAATAGTATCTACACCCTTGTGCAAATTAATTGAAACAAACTTTTTTTTTTCGTGTTTTTTAAAGAAGATGTTTTGGGGTTGTTTCGGTATGATGCGTTCTGAGCAGTACATTACTATTCTGGGTAAAAAAGTTGTTCCAGAGTTGAAGAAACGATACCCTGATGGAACAGGGATTTTTCAACAGGATTTAGTTCCTTGCCGTTCGTCCAAAATTGTCAAGAAATTCATGTCTGAGAATCAAATTGAGACATTGGAATGGCCAGGGAACTCTCCGGATGTCAACCCAATTGAGAATCTCTGGGCCATATGCAAGAATCGCCTATTAAATATGGACTGTACAACTATGGAGAAGCTAATCACGGCGTTAATTCATGTGTGGTACAAGGACACAAATATTATAAATGACTGTAAAAAATTAGTGGAATCCATGCCGAATCGTGTCCAAATATTAATAAAGTGTCGTGGAGATCATATTATTTACTAAAAATTTTTGAGTTTGTATAAATTTAAATAAAATAACATTTTCTCTTAGTTTTCTGAATTTATTGAGTTTGTTTCAATTAATTTGCAAAAGGGTGTATAACTGATTCATTATGATCTAAAAAGTTTTAATTATTTCCTATCTAGATCTAGATTTTAATTATTTCCTATCATTTTGATTCTTTAGTTCCTAATACATTTTCTTTCACAAAAAAGCAGGGTTCCCACGGGTCAGGGAAAGCCTGGAATTGTCTGGAAATTTTATTTTAACTCCAAAAATCAGGGAATAGTCAGAGAAAGTTGCAATTTTTTTTACGAAAACCCGGGAAATTCCTGGAAAAAACAGTCTTAAAATTGTCAGTAACAGTACTCAGTTGTTGAGATTCGAGTTAAATAATTCTAACAACTATTACAATTATTTATTGTAAATATTTCACATTTTAGTCAAACTGAAATGCTTCTTTCCTCATATAAAATATTTATTTTACATAGAAAATCTAATACTTAGCATTACAAATAAAAGAATCAAAATTTTCTGATGAAAAATTTCGTAACGTAGATAAAATATGGTATTGATTTTCATTAAAATTTACCTGATATACATGGAAAAGACAGGGAATTTTTTTTCTGAAATTGAGTGGGAACCCTGAAAAAGTTTAAAAAACATTATAATTTGCAAATCACCAATTTCTTTTTTTAATGTTTAATATCAAAACAAAATTACAGCTTAATCTAAATATATTTGTGAGAATTTCTTTATGTAATTTTAATACTTCATTCTATGAATGAAAAAAACTTACCGCTTATGAATACATTTTAATTTAAATATTAACTTTTTTAACCAATTCACCTGCTTTAAATTAAGGTAATGTTTTACGTAGCATGAAACAAAGCTTTTCAATTATTGGGCGTCATTTTCTTTTTAAGAAAGGGGCTGATATAACAAATTTACTTTGATTTGATCATTTGGTTATACTATTATTTTTTGGCCCAATCAAGCACCATATTTTATTAGCACTATTAATCCGCTATATAATTCTCATAGCCGACAAAAGGCCAGGTTAATGCCTGTACCGGTTGTTTTTCCTATAACAACAGGAGGTCACAACACCTCCAACAAAAGATTTCGGTACTAGGGCATTTATTATCTCATTTAAAAAAAAAGTTTATTATTTTCTAAAACAACAGAAGAGTGAAATTAAGAAGAAGCGAGTGAAAAAATAAGTATTTATAATTGTTAATAGTCAGGTGATTCACTTTTTTTTTTAAATATTTTTTTTTGTTGTATTTTTTGCCTTAATTTATACTTTATCCAGTTTTATAAATGAAACAAAATATTTTAAGCGTCTATTTTAATATGACTGGATTAGTTCCAAAATTCCTTTTGGTAAGATATTTTGTTTATTTTGAAACGCTTTTTTTTTCCTACGTATTTTTTACTGCTTAAATCGAAAAGATCTTCCTACTGCTAGTGAGCTTAGGATGATTACTGTACCAAGTAAATGTTTTGAGAATTAGAGCAGTGAGAATTAGAGCAGTGATGAAGTCAGCACTCGTTTTTAAGGAGGAAAAAGACTCTATAACATATGCGTAGATTTAAAAAAAAATTAATTATTAAAATGTGTATTTATCTCTTTGCGTTAAAGGAATACTGGACGTTAAGATTAAGAAAAATCGTTCAAAAAACCATTATTTTGTTTCTGAGATATTAAGAAAGTTCATACTTTATTAAGTAATATGCAACAAACTGTGTTTTAATCGAAATTTTCCTTACTGAGTTTACGCCCATAAAAATACATTAGGCGTTATTTTCTTTCTAAATTACGTTTGAATTCCACGATTTTATTGCAAATTTTCTAATTAAATTTCTTATTTAGGTCCCGTTTGAGAAATTTAGCTTCATAACAAGAGAGTATTCACAAACCTGTGCAGATATTTACTAGGACTGGGCTATAAGTCGATGTATTTTATTTTATAATATAACCGTCGTTGAACAGCTGACCCAATTTTATGGGTTTACAACTACTAATGTTCAACTCCGTAGCCTTGTAATTTTGAACCCAATCCAGAAGACAAGGGAACTCCTGGATCGAGTATTGGGAGAAGTTTGCCTTCGTGGAAGACTTTTTGATGGACCTAACCCGCATTTGCGTTACATGGAGAGGAAGACCACGAGAACCTCCCACGGTTAGCCTTACGGCAAGGGGTCTCTAACCCATGATCCATCTACATCTGAGGATATTTCACGTCAGCACTGTGGTCGGGGCAAGTCGGATGCGGAATTCGCATCGACTAGGATTCGAACCCGGTTCGCCACATTGGAAGGCGAACGCTCTATCCCCTGAGCCATCGCGGCTCTAAATCGATGTATAAAACCCAAATCGATGTATTGCGAAATATCACTTTAACGCATATATCGGCAGGCCGATATAATGACTTTCGTTTTAGGCGATGCATCAGAAATCTGATTTGAGCCGCCCGCATAAGACAACGCTCGAGGTTTAACAATGTAACATGCGAGGATCCTTGCCTTCGCTAACGCTGTCTCAGCGCTGGCGAAGACGATTTTGATTGCATCTAGTTGTGGAGATGTTGATAGCGTCTAGCTCAGGGGTTTCCAACTTACATGAGGCCGGGGGCCGCAACTAAAAACACCAGTCAAATGGTGGGCCGCAACTTTATAAAAATTTTATATAGGACTCTTTTATGTTTGAAGGAACATTAAGTATTACTGTTAAATTTTTATCAAGTTGTACAAAACAAAAGTATTGAATCACAAATTAAAATAAGAAGTAGATTTTTACCTGAGATATAAATTTTTTTGCACGGTTGTGGTATCTTAAATTTCACAGAAACGAAGAAATTTGGGTTTTTTTTTTTTTAACGAAGAAAGTACTTTAAACCCATATAGATTTTTACAGAAATTGTCTGCAAAAAAATGACTACTAATATATTTTTGTTCGTGGGCCACAAAAAGAGGCTTCGCAGGCCGGATGTGGACCGCGGGCCGCCAGTTGGTAACCACTGGAGCTATAAAGACGATGTTAGTTTCGTGATGTTAAATGACGAAGAGTGAATTGAATCATAACTCCCGGTTTCTAGCGTGAGGATCAGTGTTGAAATTCTCGTTTCTTTAAGCGCCATTTTTGTCTTGGGGTTTCTTTTCCGTTTTAGGGTCCATTTTTGTGTTTGGGTGTTGTCTTTGGGTACGTTTCTTGGAAGTTACAGCGGGACTTACGTAATATTGCGATCGGTAAGTGCCTTTTGTTTCGTTGGGATTTAACCTTTCTTGTGAATTATTTTCAGTGAGACTTTTGCTACTTAGCGATCGTTTCGTTGTGCATTATTTCGACACTTTTTTTTTCTTTTTGTCTGTCGGGATTTAATGATTTTTGTCAATTATTTTTGACGGACCTACTGTTACTTTGCGATAGCTGCGCAATAGCTCTTAAATTTTTGTTCTGAACTTAATCTATTAATGAAAAGAACATATGAATAAACGAAAGATTCTTCATTGATTTTTTTAATAATTGGTTTTCATTTTAAGCGATACAATTTAATAGGTGTATTTTGTATTTAACTTTGTTATAAAAGGTTTTTTTTTAAATTTATTTAATGCACGTAAATATTTGATAGAATTTGATTACTTTAAACCAATAAACCTTCAGTCTTTTTTAATTATGAAAACAATTAAAACAAAGCCTACATTAATTTAATTTGCTTTTATTTTTGAGAAAATTGAAACTAAGTTAGCGTTATTTTTTTTTTTTTAAATTTGGCTATTAGTTAAAACAAATATATTTTTTTTAATCAAATAAAAAGTTAAACAATGTTTTGAAGCTTTTTAATAACAGTACTTAAAGTATTTTATTTTTTTTTAATTTTTCTTAAAATTCTTTCAATACTTCTTTGTTTCATAATTTGTTAGTCAGTATCATTTTTAAACAAATAAATCCTAAGTAGCTTTTATTTTCGAAAAGGAAAATAATAATAAATAAATAAAAAACTTAATTTTTACATTTATTAAGTATACAATTTGAGTATTACTTAATACAACTTTATTATTTTAAATAGATAAATAAAAGAATGTCTAACAATGTTTCAAAAGCGCCGTTTTCTTCAACAAATAATTTAAAAAATGTTTTACTCAAGTGAACATTTATTTGGTTTTTTTTTTTACTTTCGTTTTTTTTTTCTTTTAATTTTTAATGCATGTTTGTAAAATATTTTGTTGCAGTTTTATTATTAATTTTATACCAATAAATCTTAAGTCATTTTAATTCATAAAAAATTTAAATAAAGCTTGGGTTTGTTTTTACTTTGGCATCTTTATTATTTTAGTTGAAAAAATTAAGCAATGCTATTGATGTTATAGAAGCATTTTTTTAGGATTAACGTTTTCTTTTGTAATAGATTTATTCCTTTTACTTATTTTTGAATGAGTTGAAGATTTCTGATTTTTGAAAATTTCTGAAGATTTTTAAAAAGATGCTAAATCGCGATGTCTGACATTCGATGTATCACGATATAACATTTCTTACATCGCCCAGTCCTAATATTTACAAATGTGTAACAATATTGAAGGAAGGATTCAATGAAATAATAGTTTACTTTTTTTTTAATCTATAGGATATATTATATGCTTACTTTAGATTTAATAAAGAGAAAATTAATTTGTAAAAATGATAAAATTTTTAAAAAAAAGATGGTTGGCTACCTTGTACTTCACAGTAGATTTCTTTTAAATAACACATATTATTATTGTTACTTTCCAGGGCAGCTAATAAATTGAGATACGTATCAGTTCCTGTTGGTCATTGCTGGATTGAAGGAGAAAATTTAAAACACAGCATGGATAGCAATTTTTTTGGTCCAGTGAGTATATTTTGGCACTCTTATTTCTAATCCAAATTCTACTTCCGTTTTGGTAAAACAGCAAGCAAAATACGCTGAATGAATTTTGATATCGTGATTGAAATTGAATATTCATCCAATATGTAACAATTTTCAAAAAAAAAAAAAAAAAAAAAAAAAAAAAAAAAAAAAAAAAAAAAAAAAAACTCTCTAGCTATGAATTATGAATGAAGACAAAATTAAACGAAGCAGACAAAACAAAAAGTTAGACACCATGAATAGGATTTGATAAAATTTAATTATATTTTTATTCTTTTATCCACTATATTGCGATAAGAGTTTTTAAAATGATTTCCAGCTACGAATTTTAGTTCTGAAAATTAGATTCTTAGCCTGCTATCCACCGCTTTAGACAATGCTTAGGATAGAGTATCATTGGGTTGGTATATTAATTATTTCATTTTTTCTTTCTCTTCGTATACTTTTTATTTTATGTCAGACTATGAATTTCAATGAACAAGGTTCGAGTAAGAGTCAGAGATCACGAGTTCGAAAAACCTCTGAAAGAGGGAGTTCGAACATTTAAAAATAATTTAACGACAGAATTTGCATAGTATTAATTTTGAGTGTGTAAGTACCCTCATTATGCAACTGTTAATTTGTATATATATAACAAATCAAGATTGGATTTAGAGTTTGTTTCTTTTGATTTTCATGACTGTATGTATTGAATTCGTGTTATGGAGAGGATTGTTTTTCCTTTATGATGTTTAAGTTAAGTTATGATTTTTCTTGCTTAATAAAATTTCTGATTAGTTAAAAGATGACTTTTTCATTATGCTTGTTAAGCATTTTCCACAACGCACTGAACTCTGCCAGCATTTTATATAAAGAATGGATACAATTTGTCAAAGCAAACCTTTCTAGGATTTAAAATGCTCAACGCGAACTGTTTTAGCTTGATGTTTATATTTGCCTTATAAATAAGGCGATCTCCGATGCAAGGAAAGGTTCAACCGGTTCTATTACGTAACGTGCTTTGCTGTGTGTTTTTAGGGGGAGGAGAAAACCTCTTTGCTTGCTGCAGAACCGGTTTTTGCGTGCATTGAGGTCCCGCAGTAGACTGATCGTTAAGACACGGTTCCCAGCAGATCACCGAAGTCAAGCATCACTGGCTGCGGTCNAAAAAAAAAAAAACTCTCCAGTTATGAATTATGAATGAAGACAAAATTAAACGAAGCAGACAAAACGAAAAGTTAGACACCCTGAATAGGATTTGATAAAATTTAATTAAATTTGTATTCCTTTATCCACTATATTGCAATAAGGGTTTTTAAAATGGTTTCCAGCTACGAATTTTAGTTCTGAAAATTAGAATCTTAGCCTGCTATCCACCGCGTTAGACATTGTTTAGGATGGAGTATCATTGGGTTGGTATATCAATTATTTAATTTTTTTTTCTCTCTTCGTATACTTTTTATTTTATGTAACAAACGGATACAGTTTGTAAAGGCAAACTTTTCTAGGATTTAAAATGCTCAACGCAAACGTGATGAACAGTTTTAGTTTGATATTTATGTTTGCCTCATAAGTAAGGCGATCTCCGATGCAAGGGAAGCTTCAATCGATTCTATTACGTAACATTCTTTGCTGCGTGTTTTTAGGGAAAAGAGGAAACCTCTTTGCTTGCTTCAGAACCGGATTTTGCTTACATTCAGAGCAAAGAAGTGGCTTTTATGAGGGAAATATTTACGTTTTGGCTTTAAGCTCGGTTTACAGTTAATTTAGCTACGTCACAAAAAGAAAATTTGACTAGTTATCCTTTGTCCCCATGCTTGTTTCATAGGTTTGATTTCTATGTATCCATAAACCTAATATACTTTTGAAGTATTTTCCGTTGACTCTACGATACAATGCATTGTATGTATTCTAGGATGTGATATACTCAGCCCGTTTAACTTACATGCTTTAAAGTGTTGGTGACACTACTAATAAATTGTTTCACTTTACATGTTGGTGTACATTCTTCGCATGTTTACAGAATATGATGCTCTGTGTTCTATTGCAAAATGTGTTTGCATAATTAATCTATTGACCTACATAAATGTTAACTAGCACATAAATTTTTTAATGTCTGTTAAAATCTTCCATAGTAATATCTAACAGTAGATGCAATTTGTACGAAGTGTTATTCTTTTAAAATATAATGATAACTCAGTTATTGAGTTATAATTAATATCACGCTCTTAACAATAAATTATTTTAATGAAAAAAATTGTATTCCTTTATTCTATAAATTTTTTCCAGGTTGCTGTAGGATTAATAATTGCCAAAGCATCTCACATCGTGTGGCCTCCCTCCCGATGGCAAAAGCTAGAATCACGACTTCCAAGTGACAGGGGGCCTCTAAAATGGCCCAAAGCAGATTTTTAGTCATCCTTACAGAATAAAAAAAAACTAGTTTCGTAGTTCAATTATTATTCAATTGTCTTCCCTTTAAATAGACGGAATTCCATCATCAAAGTCTCTCTGAACAAAGTCTTCAAATTTGTGTACTTTATGTTTTCGTGGTTATCTTTATGTATTCGTGGATTTTTTTTTTAAATTCATATTTTTCATGAATAGCCTTAATAAGTCATATATTAATTTAAGTGAAGCTGAACTAATAAGGAATTTCTTTAATCGCAGAAATGTTTACTGGATATCAAGCATGTCGCAGGTTTTAAATCAAAAAATGCCATTTTCAAATTTTTCGCGTTTCTTTTTCTTAATCATTTTATTATGTGTTTATAATACACAAACAGATTTTAAAGAAACAGACTTGTTAAGTACTAAAACAAACTTGTCTCACCAACATTTACATTGTTGTCATTGCATTTTCACGGAACAAATGTGTATATAAAATTTGAAGACAATCCAAATCTTTAGCATAAAAAAAAATATGTAATCACGGTATTTGCATGCAAATCATTATCTCTCAAAAAATTATTTAGGAGAATTTAAGTATACTATTGGAAACATCTAGTATATAAAAATTAGAATCTCAACTAATTAAATAATAAATTGATAGAAATAAATTGTATTATATTATCGAAATAATTATATCATAGTTCTTCAATTTTTGAGAATTTAAGTATACTATTGGAAACATCTAGTACATAAAAATTAGAATCTTAACTAATTAAATAATAAATTGATCGAAATAATATTGTATTGTATTATCGAAATAATTATATTATAGTTCTTCAATTGTTGAGAATTTAAGTATACTATTGGAAACATCTAGTACATAAAAATTAGAATCTTAACTAATTAAATAATAAATTTTTCGAAATAATATTGTATTGTATTATCGAAATACTTATATTATAGTTCTTCAATCGTTACTAGCTATTTCAAACAATTTTTAAACTAAAAGTAAGCACACTGAAGTTAATTATAACTATTTATTTCTTTTTTGTAAAATGAATACTCATTAAAGAGAAGCATGAATATTAATCTTTATCTATAACGCAAGTTTTATTTGTACGAGTACTATAAAGAAATATGTATGCCATAAATTTTAATCGCAACGTGTGTGAGTATTTTAAATGAATGAACTTATTTTTGTGTAAATAAAAATATTTTGAAATCCTTTGTTTGTTCCTACTTAATTACGAAAAACGCAAAAACAGGTTACTATTTATGACAATTTATGAAAAGTAAGCAGGCACTTTTATAGCGTGTTAGAGCAAAATTATGTATTGTTTAAAATATAAAAGCAGATTATAATTTTTTAGAATCCATAAAGTAACTGAATTAGCGAAATAATTTCACAAACTGCCTATGTTTTCCAAATATTCGCTAAGTATAAAGGAAATGTTTTAACTTTTCATAATTGGAAAAGTTCATTTCGAACAAAGAAACTAGATCTGGATATCGGTTAAGAAATTTTGATTTCGCTCCTAGTCTAGATTATCTTATAGATCAATGAACTATATATAAAGACGTTATAAACTACTATCATATAACTACCTTAAAATGTAAGAATGAACCAGCCCTTCTCTATCTTCTCTTTAGCCCTGGACTTTTCTATAACTAATTTTATAGTATAAACGGTGTTTTTTTAAATAAAGAGAATCATCCAGAATAACTTTTGATCTAATGATTGGATTTTCATGTACTCAAATTTAGTTGTTCGAGGGGGTGACCTCAAATATGCTAATTAATTAGCGCAGTTTATATTTTAAGCTACTAAATCAGACATGAAAACATAATTTCTTTGAATTAAGTAGTAAGTATTTCGACGTATAGTAAGTTTTATAGTTATATAAGTATTTTATTTTATCCGTCGTTGAACAGCCGACTCAAAAAATAAAGATTAATGATTGATAAAAGTGTTTAATAATTTTATATGAGCTCAGTTGTTTCTTGGTTATTAGTTTTTATGATAGAAATGTCAAAAAATAAATTCAAATAATACTTCAGATGCTGGTACAAATGTAAATGCTGTCTCGTTTAATATAAAAATTAAACTGCATCTTAAGCTAAGTTTGCTGAGGTATTTACCCACGTTCTCTTTTAATTAAAGGCAATGTAAAATCCTTCACCTTTCGCGAAATTTAAAATGCTTTTATTGTGTTATCGTAACGATGGTGCGGTCAGAATTTGTCTCTGTGAAAGTGTAAGGGTTTTGTATTTTAGAAGTATGCAAATCAAACTTTATTTATTCATATTTTGTTTTAATGAATATTGTGATTTAATCAAAGAGTTCTCTTGATTTAAAATCTTGAATAAGAAAATACTAAATATAGAGAAGTAAAGTATGAAAACAATCTTTTCTTGTTTGAGTTCATTAATCTACATAAGGACTCCTTGGATTAGCATATTGAATAAATTATTTTAAGCAAATTCGATTACGTATTTCTGACTACTCAATTAAAATTGAATTGAAATTAAAAAAGAATATATATATATATATATACTTTCAAATTTATCCTGAATAATTTACATGATTTGGTTTGTGATAATTTTACTAGTGTCTATGACGTGTTCGTAGAGATTTTTAAATGTCACATCTTCCCCATCAAAATTATTCAGCATTTGAAAGTACAATATTTTACACTTTAAAAAAAATTAAGGTTTAAATTTGAAAACAGTTATAGTTTCGGTTTAAATGGTCATAGTGTATCAGTACTAGATGGTTTACTAGAAATAACACATACTTAATAACAGGTAATACTTTGAACGTGATCTTTAAATTGGTTGACATAGTATCTGACGTACTAGAATATCCACCTGGTTGTTGTCATTTTTGTGGGAAACATGGTCAATTTGAAAAATCTTATTAAAAAAAAAGTAAGCATATTTTATTTGCTCAAATACTTACCATATTTTGAAGTAATTTTAATTTTCTTCCAATACACAAGATAAGTATAATGTTTCTAATGAGAAATTTAATGTTTCCTTCCTAACGAAGTTTTTAAGTTAATAAGGAACAGTAGTTATGGAATAATCATTCTTTAATCTCGAATCCTGAATTTAATCCTCGAATACAATCGCTTTTAATCCCTAAATAAAAATTTTAAAAACATGCTTTTTTGAAACTTTTAAATCATCATTCGTCTGAATTTCAAAAACAATGGCTATATACGATTGTTAAAACTAATTTTTCAGTTTGGTAATCATTTCATGAAAATGATTACCTAAAACGCGAAGATCCGATCACTAGATCAAAAGTTATTCACGGTGATGAGTTTTTTTTATCGGTCATTGTGCATTAGAAGGATAATAAATACAGGTGCTGGCATTAGAACAAGAAGAAAAAATCTATTTTGTTTTGGAAACTTTTTAAGATTAAATATAATTTTTTTCTTTTATTTTTTTTCCTTCTTTTTCAACATCGAATGAAGCATTCAGTTTTAGAATCATCGTTTTCGTTTCAGTGAAAATTATTTCGATTTCAAATGATATCTAATACAATAATTCTACGTTAAACGGAGTTTTCTAAGATGTTCTGCTTTCGAGGATCAATCTAAGTATGAAAGATTATTCGTCGGGAATGATAATTTAAAATTCTCAAATTTCGCTTGAGAAGAACTGATCAAAGAAAGTATCAATGCATGATATCGATAAGAGAGTGTTTCGTTCAGTGAAACAAATATCCATTTTAGAACTTGAAAGAACCAGTGAGATATTAAGTTATTTAGCTTTAAGAGCTCAAAGTTCCGAAAGAAATGAGTTCTTCATACGAGTAGCTTCAGAGTTTGCATTTTAAAGTAGAATTTTAACGAAAATGGGGTAAGAAGGTAGCGGCAATAAGTTTTCCGTACGCAATAGTACAGGAGTATTAAGGCTGTTTTCTAAAACTTATTTGTTAAAGAAGTTCTTTGAACTTAACTAATTCTTTAATTTTATACTACATAAACTACTCGCAGAAAAGATTTAATAGGAACTAACCTCCAACACATACATATATTATACACATTCCAACACATACTAAAAATACCAACACATATTTTTGGTTGTAATTAAAGCATCAGAAAAAAAATATATAAGAGGGGCACCGGGGTCCTATCTGCGTCACAAAATGTTTTCTCCGTCTAACTGCTTCTCCCGGGCAAAAGTACTTTGATTTCAATTTTAACTATTTTCAAGAGATGTCATTTTCAAGACTATTAATTTTAACTATTTTCAAGATGTCTGCGATATTTCCAAAGTTCGTTAAGTATTGAATTTTGGTAAGAATTTAAAATTTGTCCGGTAGCCATTAAATCACACAAACCACCAGAGTCCCGATCTAAATCTCTTAGAACACTTTTGGGATGAATTAGAGCTCAGATTACGTAGCCAGCCAATTCGGCCATCCTCACAACAAGCACTTGTGGCGTAACTACCACTACAAATATTAAATACCAAACACTAGTATATAAGACATGTTAACTTGATTCTATCATGAATTCAGTGAACTTAAAGACTTGCTGAAGGACCAAGACGTGCGGCATCTTCTCACAACTCCATCCAACTGATGTACTACTGTATCAACTCATGCCTCACCTCATCATGGACTTATGATCTGATCCTAACTTTGAACTGTATATGACCTCTAGTCTAAATGCCAAAACAGTATAGATGAATCGGTATCTTTAGATAGATGAAAGTTGACATAGTCGATAATTAAAATCCCTTCAATGGTGACCTGTGGACGTGATATGAACTTGCCAACATTGATCAATAGCCCACATTAAACAATTGATTTGCTTAAAAATATACTGCTCAAAGAAAAAAAAATCCGGTGAAGTAAATAAAGTCTCCCTTTCAATATTGAAGAAAATAAAAAAAGTAATGAGCGAAATGCTATAAACAAAAATTAAGAAGGAAAAAAAAATTAGCGAAATACCATAAACAAAAACGAAAGAAATATAATGAGCAAAATTGATGTAAATAAATAAACAGCATGAATCAACTAGAGTTATTCGTTCATCGAATTCTATCACAGATAAATTCTGGAAGGGGAGTAATGTGGCGTAACTACCACTACAAATATTAAATACCAAACATTAGTATATAAGACATGTTAACTTGATTCTATCATGAGGTACCTTTTGATAGATGAAAGTTGACATAGTCGATAATTAAAATCCCTTCAATAGTGACCCGGACGTGATAATTTAACATAATCCACATTAAATAATTGATTTTAAGCAAATCCACTGTTTAATGTGGGCCATTCATCAACGTTGGCAAGTTCATATCACATCCAGGGGTCACCATTGAAAGGATTTTAATTATCGACTATGTCAACTTTCATCTATCTAAAGGTACCCCATAATATAATCAAGTTAACATGTCTTATATACTAGTGATTGGTATTTAATATTTGTAGTGGTAGTTACGCCACACACTCACTTTAATTGTGATAGAAGTCAATTCCGCCGGCCAGCTATCAATAACTGGTGGAAAGTCTTTCTAAAAGTGTGCAGGTTGCCATCGATGCAAAAAGGAGACCAACATCATATTAATAAGTGTCTCAGAACGCTCTGAATCCATACCACTGGGTGTCCGGATAATTTTGGACAGATAGTGTATACACATAAATGCTATTGCTCGAAAAAGACAAGCTCCGTCACCAATCAATGATCTGACAGTATGTGGCACCATAGTACCGTTTATGTTTAAAATTTCTATAGCCGTCTTAGAAAGGATAAAAAATCTAAATAATTACTTCGAGTTTTTCTATCTGTAAAAATACAGAATTATTTTAAATAAATATTTAGCGTATAACTAATTTTTTATCACAACTTAAATTGTTACTGAAGCCAACCTAACAAAATAGATTATAACTTTAGTATTACTTGTAGATAGAGAAATTCCCGAATTTATGGTCCTAGTCCTGTCGGTTGGTCTGGTTGCCTGAGGCCGAGATGGCCCTTTACTTCTTCATCATGGGATATGGATCCTTGAAGTCCTTATTTCCTAAAATTGAAAGTAAACAATTAGTAGTGAGCACATTGCTCGAGTGAAATCGTATAAAATGATACATTTTGCAGTACATAAGATAATTAAGTAAAAAAAAAAAATAAAGATAAAAAGTGTACTTCTATTAAGAAGTTGGTCAAAAATTTAATTGTACTCTCCAGGTACAATTCTCTTTCTCT